GTTAAGCATCTGCCTTCAGCTCAGGTCATGATCCCAGGGTCCTGGGATCGAGCCCTGCATCGGGCTCCCTGCTTGGCGGAAGCCTGCTTCTCCCTCTCCCACTCCCCCTGCTTGTGTTCCCTCTCTCACTGTGTCTCTCTCTGTCAAATAAATAAAAGCTTTTTTAAAAAATTAAAAAAAAAAAGGAACAGCCAAATGGAAGAGATATATAGGGCAAGGTTTTGGAGGGGGGTGGTATGAACAAATCTCCTTTGCATTCTCTAGGAATGCCTCCCTCTCAGCACATCAGTGTGTTCACCAGCCCAGAAGCTCTCTGACTCTCCTTGTCCACAAGTTCTTATAAAAAAATCTTCAGCCCCCCCTTCCCTCCCTGAGGTCAGGGTGTGGGGCTGAAATTTCCCACCTTCCTTCTAGTGACCATTACCCATCCTGAAGCTATCTAGGGGACCCAAACCAAGTCACCTTATTAGCATAAACTCAAAAGGGGCTGTTTTATGAATAACAAGACATTCCTATCACTCAGGAAATTCTAGGGGTTTCTTCCAGGAATGAGGGACAACGACCAAATATTGTTTTGTTATACGACAGAGATCCAACTGCTCCAACACCATTCATTAAAAAGGCTATCCTTCCCCCACTGAATAGCTTTGCACATTTGTCAAAAATCAGATGAGCATGTTTCTGTGGGGTTTTTTTTTGGGTTTTCTATTCTGTTTCATTGACCTATGTGTCAGCCAAAACCACAAACTCTTGGTTACTACACCTAAATAGTAAGTCTTAATATCAGTTATTCCTGTCACCTTTCTTCTTTTTCAAAAATTATTTTTGGGACAATTTTTTCTATTCTATGTTGAGTGCTTTCCCATATAAATTTTAGAGTAAGCTTGTCTATGTCTACAAGTTTATTTCTTATTTTATGTCTCTTATCTATGTTTTCCTGGGAGTTTGATGAAAATTGCATTTTGTACACTTTTTGTATTTTTTTCTTGCCTACTTGCATTGGCTAGGACTTCCAATATGATTCCAACACCAGTAGGGAGCGCTGTCATCCTCATCTGTGGTTCACCATTATGATGTTTGCTATACATTACTGACATAGCCCTTTTCAGATTAAAGTTCCTCTTTATTCCTAGTTTGCTATTGTTATTATGAAAGGATAATGAATTTTGTCAAATGCTCTGTCTACATCTATTTGTAAGAGCATGTAGTTTTTTTTAGGCTGTTAATATGATGGGTTACATTGACTTTTTTTTTTTAAGATTTTATTTATTTGAGAGAGAGCACATGAGCAGTGTTGGGGGAGGAGGAACAGAGGGAGAAGCAGGCTCCCCGCTGAGCAGGGAGCCCAACACGGGGCTCCATCCCAGGACCCTGAGATCATGACCTAAGCCAAAGGCAGATGCCTAACTGACTGAACCACCCAGGTACCCCATGACTGGTTTTCAAATATTGAAACAGCCTTGCATTTCCAGGATAAACCCCCTGGTCATGTTGCATTGTTGCTCTTATATATTACAGAATTCAAGCTGCTGACATTTTATTGAGAATATTTGTGTTTACATTCATGAAGGCTATCACTCTGTAGTTCTCTTGTCATTGTCTGGTTTTAGTATCCAGGTAATGCTGACCTTATAAAATCAATCAGGAGGTGTCTCCTCCTATTATTTTCTCAAAGTGTGGAAGTGGCATCATTTCTTCCTGAAATGTGTTGGATAGAATTCAACAAAACTATCAGGGCCTTGAGTATGTTTTGAAAAAAATAAAAATAAATCACCTACTTCAGGGTGCCTGAGTGGCTCAGTCAGTTAAGCATCTGCCTTTGGCTCAGGACATGATCCTGGGGTCCTGGGATTGAGCCCTGCGTTGGGTTTCTTGCTCAGCAGGGAGTCTGCTTCTCCCTCTCTCTCTGCCCCTTCTCCTTGCTCATGCTCACCTGCTCTCTCTCAAAATAAATAAAATCTTTTTAAAAAACCCAAGTACTTCAATAGATATAGGCCTATTTACTTGTAGAGTGAGTTCACTGTCAAGAAATTGGGCCACTTTACCTAACTTGTTGAACTTATGAGCATGGAATTATCCAAACAGGACTAGGTTCTTTTCCAGGCTCTGTGGGATGGAGATGTACCACAACGGAATGAACAATGGGCAACATCTTCCTTCTCATCCCAATATATGCCATTATTCTGGGGCACACATACTCAATGGCCAACCTACCAAGACCTCGTCTTCTTGGTGCCTAGAGCCCGCCTCCACTTGGGTCAGGTGTTCATACACACACCCCAGCTACCGTCACCGACATCCTGGAGATTCTAACCCTCTTGCCCTCCGGTGCTCCCCCAGCTGGCTTCTTCAACTCTGCCCACTTCAGGAAGCCTTCAGCCAATCATTTACACTAGCGTGAGGAAGCAATGCCATCTACGAACTACCTGTGATATAGTAGTTTTGAAGCCTGCTGGTGTCCCTTGTCTTTCAGCCTCCTGAGTCAGAGGAGAGTAACATCAACGTCATCACCATTCACAGCAACAGCAAAAGCAACAACAATAACAAAACATCATCAACAACAAGAGCAGCAGTGCTAATAGCAACAACAGGGCCGGGAGCAACTGAGACACGCTGAACACCATTACTGCTGTAATTACACCAGTAATTACACACTGAACACAGGCACTCTCCACACCTCACTTCTCTTAATCCTAATGAGGTAGGGCTTGTCCACATTTTAAAAACAAGGAAGGCACAGAGAAGTTCAATAATTCACCTAAGATCACACAGCTATTGAGATGTAAACCCATGAGGAACCCAAGTCTGACTGAAGTCAAAAGATGCACTTTTTTTTACCCTTTAAATTTTTTAGTTATGTTAATCACCATACATTACATCATTAGTTTCTGATGTAGTGTTCCATGATTCATTGTTTATGCATAACACCCAGTGCTCCATGCAGAACGTGCCCTCCTTAACACCAACTACTGGGCTAACCCATCCCCCCACCCCCTCCCCTCTAGAACCCTCAGTTTGTTTCTCAGAGTCCATCGTCTCTCATGGTTCGTCTCGCCCTCCGATTTCCCCCCCTTCAGTCTCCCCCTCCTGCTAAAAAGATGCACTCTTAACCATGACACTAATACTCACATGGGCCTGGTGCAATGGTTTCATGCAATTTCATGCAATTTTTCTTTAATAACTGGGTTTCGTGTACAGGCCTTCTGAGCAGCCAAGGATTTACTACTTAAATGAATACCTATTTACTGTCAGGCAGTGTTTTCTTTTATAAATAAAATGCCCAAAGTGCACACATGCATACACACAATACTGCACATTAAGGGTATTTCAATATGTAAGCTAGAACGGAAGCCCTATGAAGGCAGAAATTTCTCCATTTAACCAGCTATTAAGAGCCTATGCATACTTTTGCATATTGGTTCCCTCCACATTATAGGAATTTTCAATCTTACAATAAAATAGAATTACAGCTCATACAGGCTACAAGAAAGAATTCAGATGACATTTAATATCCAGTAGTGTGGAAGGGGGACCTTGTTGCTGTCTTTTGCTCCCACAAATATGTTATTGCAGTAACAGCCATTTCCTTGAAAAAAGTTCTAGTCTTTCTTCAAATGGATAAATGTCACTAGTCAGTTCTTCTTCCTTCTGATATTACTGTTATCAAATCAGAGAACCAATTAATGGTAAGACGAACATCTTATATGCTAAGAAAAAAAAGGCTGCCAATTAAAATATAGCATGCCATCGATTACCCTGATATCTGAGATGTCAAAATGTGAAAAGAACATGTATATTAAAATAAATTAAATATAGTGACTCTTTCAGATTCGGTGTCAGGACTAACTTCCAGGCACATACTTTTTCTACAGTTGTGTTAAAAACTTGATTGTGAGGGGTGCCCGGGTGTCTCAGTCGTTAAGCGTCGGCCTTCGGCTCAGGTCATGGTCCCAGGGTCCTGGGATCGAGCCCCGCATCAGGCTCAATTGCTCCGCGGGAAGCCTGCTATTCCCTCTCCCACCCCCTCCACCCCCGCTTATGTTCCCTCTCTCACTGTCTCTTTCTCTCTGTCAAATAAATAAATAAAATCTTAAAAAAAAAAAACTTGATTGTGGATTTGTAATGGGACAAATGTCCTATAAGGGGGGTTTCTCCAGAACTCATTCTCTGACACACTAGTTGTGCTGCCCAAATGAAGTAATCACCAGATGTGCAGTTATAGAGAATCTAAAATGTAGCAGCACCATATGTTTAAATGATAGTATTTGAGATATAGGTAGGTAGAATAATATGCTATTGACATTAATTTCACCTGTAATTTTTACTTTTTAAAAATGTCAAGTGGATGAATAAAATCTTAAAAAAATAAAATAAAATAAAAATAAAAATGTGGCCAATGGGGCGCCTGGGTGGCTCAGTCTTCGGCTCAGGTCATGGTCCTGGGGTCGTGGGATCAAGTCCCGAATCGGGCTCCCTGCTCAGTGGGGAGTCTGCTTCTCCCTCTCCCTCTGCCCCTCCTCCCACTCATGCTCTCTCTCAATAAAAATCTTTACAAAAATGTACCCACTAAAAAAAAATGAACTTATATATGTGGTTCACATTGTATTTCTATCGGACAGTGCTCCTCTGGAAGAGCAGATCTCCAGCTGGAAGCTTTCCCACCTAAAGTATGTTTGCTGTCTGTCTCAGGTATGAGCTGATAACATAAAGGTTAGCATCGAGGGCGCCTGGGTGACTCAGCTGGTTAAGCGACTGCCTTCGGCTCAGGTCATGATCCCAGGGTCCTGGGATCGAGTCCCGCATCGGGCTCCCTGCTCCTTGGGGAGCCTGCTACTCCCTCTCTCTCTCTGCCTGTCGCTCCCCCTGCTTGTGCGTGCACTTTCTCTCTGTCAAATAAGTAAATAAAATCCTTAAAAAAAAAAAAAAGGTTAGCATCGATTTAAAGTACTTTTCAATATCATCACTGTATATTGGCTAGTCCAAAAATTCATTCTTTTTACTCAAGAGTTTTTTGCAAGAGTTCTTACCAAAACCTCAAACTTGTTACATTAGCCAAATCTTCTGATACAAGGAAAGGCAAGAATTCCAACTTAAAAGGAAACATAGCAAAAGAATCCTCCCAGTTTGGAAGAGAGGAAAAATGAAACAAGATGAAAGCTGAGAGGGAGACAAACCATAAGAGACTCTTAATCTTAGGAAACAAACTGAGGGTTGCTGGAAGGGAGTGGGGAGGATGGGGTGGCTGGGTGATGGACATTGGGGAGGGTATGTGTTGTGGTGAGTGCTGGGTGTTGTGTAAGACTGATGAATCACAGACCTATACCCCTGAAACAAATAATACATTATATGTTAATTAAAAATAAAAAGAATTCTCCCAATTTCTTATACAGACACAATCTCTAAAAACTTTCTGTTGCAAGGAGCAAAGGATAAAATCCATTATTTTCAAAGAACTCTTCAATACGAAGTCTCTGACACTAAGCAAAGAGAGTCTGACAGAGCCACTCTCACATTCGCTGAATCCCCATAGGTGTCTCTCTAGGATGCTACCTCTGGTGTCTAATAAAAGCAGAGCTAGGGGCACCC